TACAAGTGCAAGGCACTACTATAAGCACTATGGAAGATATAAAAGATGAATGAGAAAATTGTCATTGTCCTTGAGGACAGGACAGGAAAAGAGACAAGAGGAGAGGAAAGACATAACCCTTTTCCATATTCCCATTGAGGTAGGCAAATGATATAAGATAAGTTCATCCCATTCCTCATTTTTCTTCTCTACTATATCATTTTCTCTATTCCCTTTCCTTTTTTTTCTTTTAAAATCATCAGAATATAAGAAAAGTCACTCATCAGTTCCATCTTATTTGACTGCCTCCATGACTCCTCTTGACACTGTGATTTCCATGGGATGGGAATTTCCCTCTCCTTTTAATTTCCTCCTTTTAATTCTTATTAAAATGGAAATACCTCATCTTTATATAGTATTTTTTATTTTTTATATTTATATTTTTGTGTTTCTTTTTATTCCCATGTTTGTATTTAAAATTTTCTACTCAACCCACTTGTTTCATCAGAATGTTTGAAAGTTATTTTTATTTAAATTAAAGGTCTATTTTCCTAAAATCCTAGGATTTTACTCAGGTTTTCTGGGTATATTCTCTTTGTTCCTTTATGGGGTCTGTGCTTCCTCAGCATTTGACTTTCTTTTGGGCTGCTTACATTATTTTTTTTTCTTTGACCTGGAAGACTGGAGTTTTCATTTTCAGGTTTTTTGCAATAAGTGACAGGTAAATTCTTCTTATTTTCACTTTATCTCCTTGTTCTAATATGTCTGAAAAGTATTTTTCATGATTTCTTGAAATATAAAATATATTCATTTATATTTCAAGTAGTCCAATGACTCTTAAATTCTCTCTTCTTAATTTGTTTTACAAGTCTCACTTTTTATGAGATACTTTATATTACCTTCTTTTTCAGTTTTTTGGCTTTATTTTAATATTTCTTGACTCTTATAGTTACTAACTTTTGTTTGATCCTTTCTAATTTTCAAGGAGTACACTATTTCATAATTACAGAAGATTTTGTATCTGTCACATCCAGAAAATAAATGACCAAAAAGCCACAAAGGTTATGCAACCATTGCTAACTCTGAAAAAAAAAACACAACAAAACAAAACAAAGAACTCACAGAGGTTATCACAACCACTGTTGAGTTTCAAAAATAAAATAAAACAAAAGAGCCAATTGGTTACAAACAAAAAGGCTTTCTTCGTTCTATTACAGGAAGGAAACTAGACACTCATGCTGGGGTCTCCTTTAATAACAAGGAGACCCACTACAGCAAGGCTAAGCATTGATACATATTCCAATGGCTACACAAAGAAATCTGCAGTGAATCATAGCCATGGCAATGAGGGGTTAATAGTAACAATGAGATGAGTTTGATTTATAACAGAGCTTCATGACCAGAACGTGGTTCCTGCAGGTGCTTGTAAAAACTCAGGGGTGCCTCCTAATGATAAAAAAAGAGGAGTGAAAAGAGAGGAGTAGACTTGGCATGATGATACTGATATGCCTCTTGTACTAAGCTGGTAATTCAACTTCTATGTCTTTATTCTAGAACCCTCAATTCTCCATAGCTTTTGCCTAGAACACTAATTTTCATTTATAAAATCATTTTAACTCCTTAAAAGATTTAACATAATTTCTTCATTGGATCCTTGTTGACCTAGTGTTCAACTGAGTAATTTTCTAAGACTTTGCATATAGATATTTTGGAGTTATTCTTCTCTGGGTCCATATCTTAGGCATGCCTGGCAGCTTACTACCTCTATACTATGGAAGTCTTTTGTTGCCTATTCTTTACCTTACTTCTATCATTTGAGAATAAACCCCAAACTTAAAATGGCTTTAGAAAGAATTTTAATAAGTCATTTACCAAAGGGGAGAGCTGGAAAAAGGTGTGGCTCCCCCAAATCTCCGTTAAGTCTCACATTGTAGTTCAAACATACAAGCATACAAACTGTTGCACATGGGCAATTTACTTGAGATGTACACTAGCAGGTAAATATAAATTTTCAGTAGAAGCTTGGTTAAGCCAAAATAAAAGTTACTGGGCAGACCCCAAACACAAGCATTTTGGATGGACCCAAGACCAAGGTGGACCCCACACAAGTCTTAGGTGGGGCTTAAGTTTCAGCTCCCTTGGAGGGTCTCTGAGGTCAGCATGATCCACACTTCATATTCTGGGTTAAACAATATCTGGCTACATAAATCTAAGTTCAAATAATATAAACAAATAATAAATAATGTTTTGCCTACATTGCGTCAATTGAGACTTTGTGTTAAGGCCAGGATCTATAAACTTTTGGGATGGTATGTCAGGGCCTTTATCATCCTAGTCTCTATATTTGGGGCCCTATAATTGCATTCTGAAGGAATCAGGTGCTATATCTTCAAGGATATCAGAGATGGTAAAGTCAAGTAAATTAAAACTCTAAGTGTGCCCTATGCAAAATGATCTTTGGTATTATCTAATTGTTTTTCTCCTGGAATGAGCTATACATGCTGTAAGAGACCTTGGTTTAGGTCTAGGCAACACAGCTGTAGGCTTATTACCAATTTGGAACTACAGGAGATTATTGCTTGACCCAACTCTCGTCAGTTACCTATAAATCACTATAGGTTCATGATTATAGAGATGTAGGAAAACCTTCTTGTCTGAAGGCTCTGATCTGGTATTTACTTCAAGGCAAAGTCTGATTTACAGATCCAAGATCAGAGTGACAAAGGTGACGGTATATAGCAGGTATGAACCCACTGGTTCAATGTGTGGTCCTGCTCTGGGTTCAGAGATAGAGAGCTGCTAGCCCAACTCTTTCCCATAGTCCCTATTCTGGTCAGCTGTATGTAGGCTTGTGATTTGGGGCTGACAAAATGACGTACTGTGTTTTCTTCTTAGATTTCCCAGTCACTACTCTGTCTGGTTATCTTTCATATTCATTGAAGTAGTTGTGAGGAAAGTTGGGCTTTGCTTTTATTTCTTATTTTACATATTTGCTGGTCCAAGCCCACCTGTTCATTCATCATTCATCCACTTATGGTCTCCATAATCTGCCTTCTCTAGTTCCACTTCAAAGCTATTGATTGCTGCTGGATGAAATCCCACAATCATGATTACTCAGTCCACTACAAACATGTCATATAATCTCAGCTGGAATCTCTCTGCTGCAGGATAATCATTTTAATCCTGTTTGTTTGATTCTTTATCATAACATCTATAAAAATTATTTCTACTCTTCACTTCTCTCCTTAAGTTTCAATGCTATCTGTGTAATTGTATTTAGTAACAATAAATAAAAACCATTGCATTTTCTGTTGAATACCTCATCATCCTTCCAAAAATCCAGTTTGGCGACATAAAACGTTTCACTTTCCTCCACTCACCCCCCATCATATTCACTAAGTTGCTAACCATTTTCATTTCTGTCTTACTATCACTTGCATCTATCTTCTTTCTTTACTCGTAGAAGTGACTACCCTGGTTCAGAGCCACATGACCTTTCATTCAGAATAAAGCAATAGTGTCCTAATTGGCTTCCAGTATCTATCCTTCCCATGGCTGCCAAACTCATCATGCTAAATCAGAAGTCTTGCTATGTTGTTCTGTTGTTTAAGAGTTTTTTATTTGTTCTTATTGTCTTTTAAATGAAGTACAAACTAGATTATCATTTAAAGACCTTCACAGTCTATCTACAACATACCTTTATTTCATATTGTTCCCCAGTCCCACCTTTAAAGTATTCTACAATTGAGTAACTTTGTCTTGTTTGTTTTTTCCCTGATCTAGGTATTTTATCTTCCCCTTAGAACCTTTGCAATTCTCTATTCAAAATTTATCTCCTGACCACAGCTAATCCTTAGAATCTTGTGAAAGTTTTAAAGTATCATTGATGCCACCATCTATGAGACATATTACTTTATCTTCCCAAGGATTAGTGCTGTCTCTCCTCAAATTATCTTTTAATCATTTCCTAATTAGATGCTAGGACCACCATTATCCAGTTTAGTAGAATTTGAACTCCTTGATGACAGGGAGTATTTTTCCTTTGGATATTCAAGGTTTTGTATAGTGGTATAAATGAGATAATGTTTGTAAAACATTTTGGAAATCATAAAATGCTACATAAATTCTAGCAGTTGTTTTATTGTTATCATTATTATTAGATGATAATGATTGTGATTGCATATAATTAACTCTTATAAATTGCTTATTTACTGAAAGAATTAATAAATATGCTTCCCTCCTTTATTAAGAAAAGCAAGATCATACAATATGAGTTCCCTCATAACATACATCAGAATAATATATGTCTTCGTTGTCCTCTTTTTCTCAAATGTTCAATCACTCCATCAATTAATATTATCTTCTATGTTCTAGGTACCTGTGCTAGTAGGTAGGGATACAAATACAAAAAAAGAAACAGTCCCAGCTCACAAAGCTTATATTCTAATGACAACAAAGATACACATATAAATATACATATACAAGTATGTATGTGAAGTATATGTGTATATATAGATAAATGCATATACTATATAAAATATGAAGAGTATATATATATATATATATATGTAAATTAGTTAAATACAGGGCCAAATGAGAGAAAGAGATGGTAGTTAAGCTGTATCTTGACAGAGCAGAGGGATTTTAAAGGGTAGAAGTGATGGAGGAGTGTATTCCACACATGAAGAACAGAAAGTGTAAATGCATGAAGTCATGAGAGTACTTGAGTAAGGAACAGAGAGAAGGTCAGTTTTGCTGTATTTGCAGAATAGGGAGGTCAGTAATATATGATGAGGCTAGAAAGCAATGTTTGGGCTAGGCTGTGAAGGGCTTTAATGGCTAAACAGAGGGAGTTATATTTGATCATAGAGAAAATTGTGAGCCACTGGAATTTCTTGAGTAGCAAAATCACACAGCTTTATCTGCACTTAAAGAAAATCACTTTGGCAATAGTATGGAAGGTGTACTAAAGTGCAAAGAAATTTGAGGCAAGAAGATGAATTAAATGTCCATTCCAATGCTTGCTTTGGCAGCACATATACTAAAACTGGGATGATACAGAGAAGAATAGGTAGGCCACTGTACAAAGATGACATGCAAATTTGTGAAGTATTCCATATTTTTAATCTCTCAGCATAATTGACCATATAAATAATAAAACCAATAGAAATCATATGATTATCACAATCAATTCAGAAAAAAACTTTTGACAAAATACAACTCATTCCTATAAAAAACACTAGAGAGCATAGGAATAAATAGAACTTTCCTTAAAATTATAAGTAGTATCTAGCTAAAACCATCAGCAAGTATTATATGTAATGATGATAAGCTAGAAGTCTTCCCAATAGGACCAGGAGTGAAGCAAAGATGCCCATTATCACCACTATTATTCAATATTTTACTGGAAATATTAGCTATGGCAATAAAGAAGAAAAATATATTGAGGGAATTAGAATAGGCAAAGAAGAAACAAAGCTATCATTCTTTGGAGATGATATGATGGTATACTTAGAGAATCCTAGAGGATCAACTAAAAAACTATTTGGAACAATTAACAACTTGAGCAGAATTGCAGGATATAAAATAAACCCACATAAATGATCAGCATTTCTTTATAATAGAAAGCCCTGCAGCAAGATGTAGAAAGAAAAAAATCCTTTTAAAATAATTTTAGGCAATATAAAATACTTGGGAATCTATCTGCCAAGATAAACCCAGAAACTATGTAAATACAATTAAAAATCACTTTTAACACAAATAAAGACAGATCTAAACAATTGGAAAAATGAAAATTGCTCATGAGTATGCTAAGCCAATATGATAAAAATGACAATTCTAATTAAATTAATTTACTTATTCTTTGCCATACTGATCAAATTACCAAAAATTATTTTATACAGTTGGCAAAAAATTTTTAACAAAATTCTTCTGGAAGAAGAAAAGGTCCTGAATATCAAGGTAATTAATGAAAAAATATGAAGGAATGCTTTCTAACCAAACCATATATCAATCTTAATAGTAAAGTTGTAATAGTCAAAACTATCCGGTACTGGCTAAGAAATAGAGTAGTGGATCAGTGGAATAGATTAGGTACACAAGACTCAGTAATAAATGACCATAGTGATCAAGCATAAAGGCCACAGCTTTAAGGAAACTATTTGATAAAAACTGCTGGGAAAACTAGAGAACAGTATGGCAGGAGCTAGGTATAGACCAACATTTTGCACAATATACCAAGATAAGATCAAAATGGGTACATGATTTTATTTTATTTTTTAAAATTTATTTATTTTTTGTTTTCAACATTCACTTCCTCAAGATTTTGAGTTCCAAATTTTCTCCCCATCTCATCCCTCCCCCACCCCAAAATGGCATGCATTCTGTATACCCCTTCCCCTAACCTTCCCTCCCTTTTATCTCTCCCCCACTTCTCTTATCCCCTTCCCCTTCTATTTTCCTGTAGGGCAGGATATATGTCAATACCCCATCTCCTGTATTTCTTATTTCCCAGTTGTATATGAAAACAGTCTTTTTTTAACATGTGTTTTTAAAACTTTGGGTTCCAAATTTTCTATCTTCCTCCCTCCCCACCCACCTTCATTGAAAAGGCAAACTTGATACAGGTTATATATGTGTAGTCATGCAAAACACTTGCATAGTAGTAATGTTGTGAAAAACTAAGTGTATTTCTCTTCATCCTATTCTGACCCCCATTTATTCTATTCTCTCTTTTGACCCTGTCCCTCCTCAGAAGTGTTTGCTTCTGGTTATCCCCTCCCCCAGTCTGCCCTCCCCTCTATCATCCACCTGCTCTCATGTCCCCTTCCCCCCTTATTTTACAGTAGGATAAAATAGATTTCCATACCCAATTGTGTATGTTATTCCCTCATTAAGTCAAATCCTATAAGAATTAGATTCACTCATTCCCTCTCACCTTCCCCCATTTCCCCTCCACTGTAAAAGCCTTTTCTTGCCTGTTTCATGTGAGATAATTTACCCCCATTCTACGTCTCCCTTTCTCCTTCTCCCAGTATAATCCTCTTTCAGCCCTTAATTTTATTTTCCAGATATCACCCCTTCATCTTCAATTCACCCTGTGCCATCTATCTATCTATCTATCTATCTATCTATCTATCTATCTATCTATC